TTTCTGACAAAATTTAATATCCATTCATAAAATATCTGTTAACAACATGAAAATGGAAGGAGCATCTTTAACCTGATATATACAATACAACATGGATGTCTACTATCACGCATTATTAGATATTCCTTTAGGTATTTTCTGAAGGTCATGGCCTGGGTAGTAATACAAAAAAAGTTAAATCTCTAAGTAATTAGAGGAAATATAAAACCTTAATTATTTTGCCTATGATATAATTTCTTACATAGAAAAAAGGAAGAAAATTATCATAATTGAAAAAAACAGTTTAGCAGTATTACTTTATAGAACAACTGAACTGCATTTCTCTACACCAGCATAATTTTAAAATATATTTTTATGTTTGTTAACATTGACCAGTTGTTCGGGTGCCATAACACAATGCCTTAAATGAGATAACTAGTAAACAACAGACATTTATATCTTACAATTCTGGAGGCTGTGAAGTTGATCAAAATGCATATGGTTTCTGGGAAGGGCCTGCTTCCTCACTGACAGTGCTTTTTAGCTATGTCTTCACGTGATGGAAAGAGCAAAAATGTTTCCTCCAGCCTCTTTTATGAGGGCACTAATCCTAGCCATGAGTTTTTCTGCTCTCATAATATAATTACATCTCAAAGACCCCCCAACCTCTTAATATAATCACCTTGGGGGTTAGAATTTTGAAATATGAATAAATATTCAGATCATAGCAATAATATTAAGCATTTATTGTTATATTATTATAAGGATGGCATTTCTTTCTGAACTGAGCTTTAGTCTCAATGTAATTACAGTCACAATGTTGGCATGGAAATTAGTGGGTTCATTCCAATATGGAAGAGAAAAGAAAAATAGTTAAGATTTCTTGATAAAGAACAAGTAGAGTGGCTTGTTTATTCTGGATATTAAGACCTATACTAAAGTCATAATAATGAAAACAGCACATTATTATGGATATGGAACAAAAAGAAAAATAGAATTGATTTGGGAACCCAGAGAGACCCAAACACATATGGCAACTCATATACGACAGAGTTGTGATTGCAGATTAATAGGTTGTATTTAACAAAGGGTACTAGGACTCAAGTTGGAAAAAAGTGACATTGGATTCCTGTCTCCCACCACACACCTGCACTCACATACACACACGTTCTCCAAGTAAACACTGAAATGTGAAAAACAACTCTTTAAAACTTTTATGAAAATAAAAAGAAAGTAACTTCAGGACACAGGATTGAGGACTTCTTAAGCACATCAGAAAATGTGAAAACAATTATATTAAAAGCTCTATGCATTAAAATTATAAACTTCTGCTTATCTTAAGGCAATACATTGCAAATAAAAAGAGAAGACCAAAACTGAGATAAAATATGTGCCATACATATGACCTAAAGAAGATTATTCAGAACATATAAAAACTTCTATAAATATAGGCAAAAAACAGGAACAGTTATTATACATAAAAGGAAACATGACTAGCTAAATAGTGCATGAAAAGATCCTCATTGGTAATCATGGAAATGCAAATTAAAACCAAAGTAAGATACAATTTTATTCTCATTGGAGAGCAGAAATTAGATACAAGAGCAGAGGGTATTAAAGGAAGCCTTGGGAAACTAGTATATCCTGAAATCCAGCATTTGTACTTCTGAGTTAAACATATAATGAAATATTACTTTACACTCACTACATTAACAAAGTATCAAACAAAATAAAAAAGTAAAATAAAATAATGGACAATACCAAGTATTGGTGAGGAATGAAAGAAATAGAGCTCTCATGAAGAGATGGCAAGAGTGTAATCAAAAATATTTTAAAAGCATTTTGGCATTTTAAATATGCTTTTAAAGTTATTGAGCTGCATACCTTATGGATGAATAATTCCTTGCCTAAAGAAACTTTCTCATATGTTTATCAGGAAACATGAATAAGAATATCAGACCAGGCACGGTGGCTCATGCCTGTAATCCCAGCACTTTGGAAGGCTGAGATGGGCAGATCACAAGGTCAAGAGCTCTGGACCATCCTGGCTAACATAGTCAAATCCTGTCTCTACTAAAAGTAGAAAAATGAGCTGGGCATGGTGGCACATGCCTGTAGTCCCAGCTACTCGGGAGGCTGAGGAAGGAGAATTGCTTGAATGATTGAACCCGGGAGTGGGAGGATGAAGTGAGTTGAGATCTCGCCACTGCACTCCAGCCTGGTGACAGAGTGAGACCCCTTCTCAAAAAAAAAAAAAAAGGAATATCCAGTGCAGCATTGTTTACAATAGTGAAAGGCTGAAACAACTTTAAAATATTTATCTCAGGAAAATTGATTAAAAACTTGGAGGAATCTTGAACAACCAATATTGAGTAAAAAGGGAAATATGAAAACCATGTGTAAGATACCAATTATGTAAAAGTAAAATCCCTAAAATTAAACAAATTGATAAAGAAATATACATATATGTATATAGACCTATTAAAAAAGACAATGGGAAACAACCAAATCAGACCGATGCTTACCCTGGGGATCAAGGTAAGTGACTTAATAGAGAAAAACGATTCCAGGGGCTTTGGTAATATTAGAGATGTTCTACCTCATAACGAGTGGTTCCTTTCACTAATTCTTTATACACTGTAATGTTGTGCATTCTTTATGTGTTTAAATTATTTCATCATATTAAAAAATGATGGTATAAAGTGAAGTAAAGGCTATATACATTTTTGACTCATTAATTTTAGCTTAGTACTGAAAAATATTTAGAAATTCTCCACTATTGGGACAAATTATTAATTCTTCAGTTGAGCTCTAAAAGAAGTATTTCATTTGCCTTTTGAGGCCCTATTGTATAACATTCCATGTTTTCAATTGCTTGCACCATAAAGCAACTGAGACCAATAAAAAGATTCATAGATTGAACATCTTGCACATGCCCTGACGTATTTTTATTCATCAGTTAACTGTGTGCGGGAGCAAACAAAATCTAAAGCAACCTTCACATTTTCTTCTCTTTGTTTGTCAATTGTTGCCCATATATTGATATGTTTATATAAATATGTGTTTTAAAACCTCAATTTATATGAATTTTAAAGAACAGTTTTGATGCACCCTTCTAAATAAATGACTTTCCTGTCAAATTGTGTTGTTTTAACTCAGTTTGCCTGCGCTATCCCAAATATACAGAGAGAATACAATAGCAAAAGAGAAAGGGGGTAGGAAAAGGTAGAGAACAGATAAAGTAACCACAATGAAACAAAGTCGAAGGCAGATCCCTCTCAGTGGGAATGAAAAAGAATAGAATTCTTCTCACCAGCTCTTCCATAAAATGTAGGTTGCTCTGTTGACTGATCCAAGTAGATATTAAAAAAATAATAATAATAAAGGAAGAGGAAAGAAAGCAAAAATAGGAGTAACTTCAAAGAGGTAAAAGAAAAGTAACTGTTTTTATTGCATCTTCCTGTGTAGGCCAGCTTCTGGGCTGTGGCATCAGACTTACATTTCATCTCTTGTAATGCTTTCTTACCACTATTGTATCTGTTTCTTATTTCTTTTCCATGCACATAGTGTTGAGGGGGTGTCTAATCTTTTGGCTTCCCTGAGCCACGGTGGAAGAACATGAGTTGTCCTGGGCCACACATAAAATACATTAACACTACCAATAGCTGACGAGCTAAAATAAAAAATTTAAAAATCTTTTTAAAAAGCCTCATAATGTTTTAAGACAGCTTATGAATTTGTGTTGGACCACATTCAAAGCTGTCCTGGGGCCACGCGCAGCCCCCGGATCATACATAGGTTAAACAAGCCTGGTTTAGGACTTGTTGAATAAACAGGGTCCTAGAAGAAATAAGTGAGAAAAATAATGTGATGGACAATAATATCCAAATAAACTCTTAGGTAATAGCTTGGATAGCAATAAGATTCTTTTAAGAAGATACATTTTTGCCGCAAAAGGATATTGTTCCTTTTTAGTCCCTTTTTATTAAATTTCAGCCACAAAATTTAAAAAAAAAAACCTTATCTGGATTAAATTATTTTTATTAAGTTCTCATGTCTGATTCTTTTCTAGGTACTATACAAAATATTTAATAGATTTTGTCTGGCATCTACTCATAAGCAAAAATACTGTCACTGGATTATGGGATAGATATATAGGAATAAATATACAAATTACAGAAAGTACAACACAGAAATTAATTTCATATTGGTTTGGCAATCTGTGTTTTTGTTTTGAGTTTACTGGAAAACACTGTGCTCATAGCTTCATGTAATTTGGCATAAAATTTGTATCTAAAGAGCTCTCTCTGTATTATTTTAAAGAGCAATAACTATATGTCAATCATATCATATCATATATGAAATTGCCTTAACTATAACAAAGAAGTGTTTCAACTGGAATGACACCTAGATTTTGGAACTGACTTTGAAGTGGATTATGTTGATGTTGATAGAAGGATCAGAACTAATAGAAGAACTAGTTGACATTAATTTCACTCTTCTCTGCAATGCTTTAAGTGGTTTTCTTTGTTTTTTGTTTGTTTGTTTTGTAAAGGATCTTTCTCTGTCGACAAAGCTGGAGTGCAGTGGTGCCATCATAGCTCACTGCAGCCTCTAACTCCTGGGTTCACGTGATCATCCCACCTCAGCCTCCCAAGTAGGTAGGACCACAGGTGCATACCAGGACACCTAGCTAATTTTTTTTTTTTAATGTTTGTAAACACAGAGTGTTGCTGTGTTGCCCTGGCTGGTCCTGCGCTCAAGTGATCCTCCCTCCTTGGCATCCTGAAGTGCTGAGATCACAGGTGTGAGCCACCGCAATGATTATTAGTTCTTAATTTAATAAATTAATTCATTCCACTTTGATTTGTGTTTAAGTTTCACGTGATAGGGTCCCATCTCATTCATCTTTCAATATACCACAACATCCATTAATATTGTTTGTATTTTGAGCAGTCATATCTCAAAAGAATAAAGAATTGTCCTTTTAAAAAAAGTTTTTCTTTTAAAATTTATTTCAGAAATTTGGTACAACTGTATAAAAGTGAAGATGACATGGAAGTTTCAAAGAAGATTAAGACTCAGTGGACTTCGCTGGGCCTGGAAGATGTACAGTTTGTAAATTATTCTGTGCTGCTGAATCTGCCAGGCCTTTCTCCCAGCACTGTGACTCTAAGCAGCAGCGGTGAGTGCTTTCATCCTGATGGCCAGCCTTGCAGTGAAGAAGCCAGAAAAGAGAGCAGCCAAGACCTACTCTACTCATATGCAGCCTATTCTGCCAAAGGAACTCTCAAGGTAATGTGACCATTTGTCTCTGTCCTTTACAGTGAGGTGGAATTAGAAAACAACCACTTTCATCTAAATTGAACTAACTGGCAAGATGCAACGTATAAAAGTAACCATTAAATAGTCTCTCAGTGTGGAGGCGCCAGCAAAGAAAAGGAAGATTTGGCCCTGCTGACCCTTTTCTTCTCATATTTTTGAAAGTGAAAACACGTTAGAAAAATTTAATTCAAAGGTGTTGAATGTGTGACTGTGTCATTCACATGTTGCTCTGTCCATATAGTGCAAGTCTATTTCCTTCTGTGACATTGAAGAGGCCAAATTTCATACATTGATACAGAGAAAGGAAAATAAATGGAGAATGTTGTGTTTTTAGATTGTGCACACACAAAATAAGTTAAGTGGAAAATTGATTTGATTATTAACATATTTAAGATTAGAAACACAGCACTGCTTGCTTTCATGATGGAAAACATGTGATAAGAGCCAGTTGTGTATTATTTCTTCACCTTTTCTGGGTCAGCACATTTACGGTGCAGTGCTTTTTGGAACAATGGTTAAGTGTAAGACTTCTAGAGCCACATGGACTAGTTTTAAATCTCAGGTCCCCAATTACTCACTGTTACTTTACCGTGGGGAAGAAAGTGGGGCTGAGTTTCCTCATCTCTGTGTTGGAGTCATTCATGTTCCAACTCATAAGGTTGTTGTGAGAAAAAATTAACTAGTGTGTAAATGTAGGAGGACAGAGCATGACCTATAGTAAGAACAATATACAAGTTAGATATAATGACCTGCAGTTGGTCAGCAGTTTCCTTGATATGGGCAACCTTTCTAACTCTATGTAAAAAACAATTTTAATAAATACACTTAGTTTATTTTTTCAAATCAAGCTGTGGATTGCCTCGTTTAATATCAATGAAATAAAGTTATGTTTCTGACTATTGTTAATGCACAAATGTTTGAGAATCTAACTTATTATGAACTATGATTAACATATGGAATTTTAAATAATTTAAAATTACTTTGCGTAAATACTTGAGATAATAATAGCAAATGCTTGTTCCTAATATATTTTGAGGGAGTGGGAGGGAGAGACAGAATTCCTGGAAGTCTGACATTGTATCTATTCTGTATGTATCATACTTTGACTTTTAGCCAAAGAGCTGCATATAACTATTTCCACCTTGAAAAGTCTTACCATTAATTAAACTTTAATATAATATTAAATGTCTGCCATATTTTCTAGTGTAGGACTCCTATAATTTGATTTGCTTAATATTATACTATTTCTGGTAGGTAGTAATGGTAACACACCTATATATTAGTAAAAATAGAGTTAGGCAACCGTCACTCTTTCCTTGATTCAGAAACTTTGGCCTTAAGCCAAAATTCTAAAAATTACCCCGATATTTTCTCTAGCGTTCCTAGCTGCCTAAGGCACATGCATTTTCAACCTCTTCTTTATCCCAGTTGGCTCAGGTCATTTCTTCCCCTAAACAAAAGCATGTCTAAAACACAGAACAATTACAAAAGCACCAGGAGTTTGAGAGGATCCTTGGAATCTTCCCCATCTCCTTGCTTTTCAGTTTCCTCTGGTGGACACTGACTACTCTTGAAGGAGGAGATATGCAAAGGTCATGAAACTACAGCTTGCATTCCTGTTCGCATGGCCCTCTGTGGTGACCCGTTGGGCCCAGTGGATTGAAGGGAGAATAAGATTAAATCAATTAATTTACATAAAATAATTTCTTAGATATAGGTTCATAAACAAAAACACCTCCCTCAATGCCCCTGCACTTTCATATTGTCCAGTTTCCATACAGACCAAGAGAGATCCTATCACAGTGAAACGTCCCAAAGTCCCTTATGGGAGCATATATTGATTGGTCTTACTGTATAATGGGGAGATTCATGGGATCAGGTAAATTAAATTTTGATGACTACTCTTTTATACTTGGGACTTTATGCATAATAAGGGAGAGATGGGAGAGGAACCCTTCAATGACAATCTATTTACCTTGGTTTAAAAGGGATATTGGCCAGGCGTGGTGGCTCACGCCTGTAGTCCCAGTACTTTGGGAGGCCAAGATGGGTGGATGGCCTGAGGTTAGGATTTCAAGATGAGACTGACCAACATGGTAAAACTCTGTCTCTACTAAAAAAATACAAAAATTTAGCCAGGCCTGGTGGCGGGTGCCTGTATTCCCAGCTACTCTGGAGGCTGAGGCAGGAGAATTGCTTGAGTTCTGGAGGTGGAGGTTGCAGTGAGTCGAAATTATGCCATTGCACTCCAGCCTGGGCAACAAGAGTAAAACTCTTTCTCAAACAAAGAAAAAAAAAAGAAGAAGAGAAAAGAAAAAAAGATATTAACAGATATTGCATACTTCTGATTTCTGATTCATACTTACTGACAAACCCTCCTAATCAGGGAGGTGGTGGATGATAGAGGAAAGAAAGTCAAGGAAAATATCTTTTGGAAGAATCTGTTTGGCCCTAGATTTCCAATAGTGGGCAAATTTCGTTTCCCACGATATTTGTGCAGATGTTGGACACAGAGTATTATATGTAATTGTATGTTTGATTTTTATGTTTTATAAAAGACATGGCTGAATCACAAAAATGTTAATCAACCCCTTTATTCTAACAGATGATGCTGTAGGATGGACATGTAAATATTGTTCACGCTTTATTTTGATAGCCTCACCTGCAAGTGTCCTGCGTTCAAGCAGTGTGCAGGAGTCATAAATGTTTGGCTGTTTAGTGTCCATTGTTAGACTCCGTCACACAACTGAATGTAATCTCATTTTTAATGTAAAATAAGTTTTTAGTTTAAAATATGTAATGTTACTAATATGTAGAGGTTTCCTATTTTAAGACATAAAAAGGTGCATCTGCAAAATTCTTTAGTTTCAAACTTCTTACCAATGCTTTAGGGATCAGTTCTTAAAATTAAGAACTAATCTTACTTTTAAGAACTAATCCCATTCCCTGTCTTTAAGATATTTTTAGACCACACCAAATTCCAAGCAGCCACAGATTGATTAGTTTATAAGGACCCTATAATTATGATGTGATTAAAATTAAAATAAATTCAGACCTGAAGTATTTTAATATCTTTTTTCAAATTCAGCAGCCATTGTTTGTGGAGGTTAAGTTAGCCTCCATAAATTTTACTTGAACACCATTTCTATTTCCTTGACGAATTCCGATCATCAGGGCCTAGAAACTAGAAATCGGAATTCTAAGATTGTCGATAGTATTCTCTACCCCCAGCCCCTCTGCCATTTATAATCGTAAGTTATAGGGAAGGATGAGTTTTATTCTCAGCATTTTGGTTATGTGTTTAAGATGTTTGGTAGCAGTCTTTTTAGATCCCTTTAAATGAAACAGTTGTTTTCTTATCCAAATATATGTGGTTCTTTCCCCCATTTTTATTTTTTTCTTTTCCTGTTTCTTTTTCTTGACAAGAAGGGCACAAAACATGTTTGAGTTCAGTGAATACACCAGTTTACTTAAACACAATATATTTTAACTTCCTTTTTAATTAATTAATTTTAAATTATAGTTTAAGTTCTGGAGTACATGTGCAGAACATGCAAGTTTGTTATACAAGTATACATGTGCTATGGTGTTTTGCTGCACCCATCAACCCGTCATCTACATTAGGTATTTTTCCTAATGTTATTACTACCCCAGTGCTCCTTCCCTCTACAGGCCCTGGTGTGTGATATTCCCCTTCTTGTGTCCCTGTGTTCTCATCATTCAACTCCCACCTATGAGTGAGAACAGGTGGTGTTTGGTTTTCTGTTCTTGTGTCAGTTTGCTGAGAAGGATGGTTTCCAGCTTCATCCATGTCCCTACAAAGGACATGAACTCATCCTTTTTTATGGCTGCATAGTATTCCATGGTGTATATGTGCCACATTTTCTTTGTCCAGTCTATCATTGATGGGCATTTGGGTTGGTTCAAAGTCTTTGCTATTGTGAACAGTGCTGCAATAAACATGTGTATGCCTGTGTCTTTATAGTAGAGTGATTTATAACTTTTTGGGTATATACCCAGTAATTAGATTGCTGGGTTGTATAGTATTTCTAGTTACAGATCCTTGAGGAATTGCCACACTGTCTTACAACATGCCCAGAAAAGCAACACAAAAGACCTCACCAGTAGTGTGAAACCTCCCACCAGTAGTATAAAAGCATTCGTATTTTTCTATATCCTCTCCAGCATCTGTTGTTTCTTGTTTTCTTTTTTTTTAATTAATGCCAATCTAACTGGTGTGAGATGGTATCTCATTGTGGTTTTGATTTGCATTTCTCTAATGACCAGTGACAATGACCATTTTTTCATCTGTCTGTTGGCTGCGTAAATGTCTCCCTTTGAGAAGTGTTTGTTCATCTCTGTGACCCACTTTTTTGATGGGGTTGTTTTTTTCTTTTTTTCTTGTAAATTTGTTTAAGTTCTTTGTAGATTCTGGATATTAGCCCTTTGCCAGATGGATAGATTATAAAACTTTTCTCCCATTGTGTAGGCTGCCTATTCACTCTGATGATAGTTTCTTTTGCCGTGCGTAAGCTCTTAAGTTTAATTAGATCCCATTTGTCAATTTTGACTTTTGTTGACATCACTCTTGGTGTTTTCTTCTAGGGTTTTTATGGTTTTAGGTCTTACGTTTAAGTCTTTAATCCATCTTGAGTTAATTTTTGTGTAAGGTGTAAGGACGGGATACTATTTCAGCTTTCCCAACACCATTTATTAAATAGGGAATCATTTTCCCATTGCTTGTTTTTGTCAGGTTTGTCAACGATCAGATGGTTGTAGATGTGTGGTGGTATTTCTGAGGCCTCTGTTCTGTTTCATTGCTCTATATATCTGTTTTGGTACCATTACCATGCTGTTTTGGTTACTGTATCCTTGTAGTTACAGTTTGAAGTCAGGTAGTGTGATGCCTCTAGCTTTGTTCTTGTTGCTTATGATTGTCTTGGCCATGCAGGCTCTTTTTTGTATATTTT